TGTCCGTCTGTTCATCTCAGGCCATCCGGTGTTTCCTGAGCCGCAAGTGTTGAGGAGCACTCTTAATGGCTGGAAGGGGCCCAGGGCTACATTTGGGCTCTTCCTTTCCCTCTTCAGGACCCCCCACCCCCCACAAGGCCAGACTCTTGTCATGAGCTGAGAAAGCCGTGGGGTTGGTCTGTGGTTCTGATAACAGCTGCCACGGCGCTCTTAAGGAATTACATCATGAGAACTGCTTTTGCTCTTGCACTGTTTGGGTTTCCAGGGAGGGTTAGCAGCAAGACCATGTTTATGTGTGCAGGAGGAGGGAGAGGTGAGGGGGAGTTAAGAGGTAGAGGGAGGGTGGGAAGAATGGGGTTTATGTACAGGCTGATTTGCCCAAATCTAAAAAGCTGGTGCCACCTTCCCAGTGGGATACAGAGTGCAGACATGAATTAAATGTATCTACACATAACAGTTGAATCCGTCTCCCCGAGTTTCTGTTTTTATATTTGTAAAATGGTGTCTTAGGGTTTCGGTTGCTGTGAAGAGACACCATGGCCACGGCAGCTCTTTTCAAGGAAAACATTAACAGTTCAGAGGTTTAGTCCATTGTCATCGTGGCAGGAAGCATGGTGGCACACAGGCAGACGTGGTGCTGGAGATGTAGCTGAGATGTCTACATCCTGATCTGCAGGCAGCAGGAAGAGAGAGTGACACTGGGCCTGGCTTGAGCATCTGAAACCTCAGAGTCCACCCCCAGTGTCACATTTCCTCCAACAAGGCCACGCCTCCTAAAAGTACCCCTCCCTATGAGCCCATGGGGGCTGTCTTCACTCAAATCACTGTAAATGGGTTTTACAGAAGGCACATGAATCCTGTCTCCAGTCTGGGACAAAGCCTGTGTGTAACAGGTTGTGACAGAGGCACTGAGGGCCAGGCTGAGCTTCTTGAGGTCTCGGGCTGGCCAGACTCCTCTGCACAAAACAAGTTGATGGGCACCTCCCCTCTGACCAGATGAGGGAGATGAGAGGCAGACACGCCTGCTGTGGCCACAGAGGCGCCTCCCTGTCTTGCTCACTGCGCGTCCCTAGCGCCTGTGGGAGTCAGGGGACACAGAGCTGAGGAGGACCCTCTGCTGCGTGTGCTGCAGGCACCTGGCACCCCAGGTTTCCTGCCACACTCTCAGGTGCTCAAGGCCCCCCATCTTCCATCTCCTGACTTGGAAGACGGCACCTCATGCTTCCTGTCAGCACTGTGGCTCTTCTCAGAGGGGCCCATCTTGAATCTTTTAGTGCCCTGCTTACCCCGTTCTTCTTCATGCTGCAGGAGAAGTAGACCTTCCCTCCTCCTTCAGAGTCCATGCGGGCCAAGGCTGGGGGCAAGGTCAGGATTAGCAGTACTTGCTGCTCTGTGGAAGGACCCAGTCATGGTTGTTGGGTTATGGCTACCTGTTTAACTCTAGCTCTAGGGGATTCAGACCTCTTTTCCAGCCTCTGAGGGAGTACACACACACACACACACACACACACACACACACGATAAAATAGAAATGGAATGTGCTACCAAAATCCTTAAAGTACACGGTGTGTCCAAAATCCTTGAATTAAAAGAATTCCCATTGCCTCCAGGGAAACCACCTGTACACACACACACACACACACACACACACACACACACACACACACACACACACACACACACCTGTACTGCTTCCCAAACTCCTCCTATAGCCTATAAGGTCCTTCTGTTGTACCTTAGCCTGTCTGTCTGCTGTTTGCTGCCAGGTCCCAGCCATGGCCTTTTGACACAGGAGCTGTACTCGGCAGCCTCAGGACCCACCCTGGGTGAGTGGGGCTTGCTTGCAGCCTGATAGGATGCTCTGTCTTGCTTAGTCCTACCATTTTCCACACATAGGCACACCTCTTGTCCATCAGCGAGGCTGTTTCTGTCATGGCGAGACATAGAGGAAACAGATGAGGAACCTTTCTTTCCAGCTCTGCCTTCCAGGAAAACATGATGGGTTACCCAGTGGCTGGCAGGTAGACTGGGGCCAGTGCAGGGAAGGACAGGCCTGCCTACTGGAGGGGATAGCCCTGCGCTTTGACCACTGAGCCCATTCCTGGCCCTCCTTCCCAGCAGTGGGAGCCTATGGTCTCACAGACCACAGAGCCGCTCTTTGTGAATGTTTCCAGGTAACTGCTTAGGGAAAGAGAACAGGAGCATGCAAATAGAAGCTTGTGGGGAGAGAAAGTTAATGCTACAGTAAGTAAGAGCACTGACTGTGGGCTGACCTGGCCAGGCAAGTGTTTCACATGACTCCTAGGCGCTGGTGGGAGACAGCATCAGGGATGTGTATGAGCCCAGGCCTGTTTAGGATTTGAATTCATGGGGCCTCAGTTTCCCAGGAACCCGAGTAGTTCCTGCCTTCCACTGTAAGTGGGCTGTACCTCCTGGGGCTCTTGTGGTAAGGACATGAGTGTCATATGTAACGTTTAGCGAGTGCCTCCCCTGGGATGGATGCTGCCACTGGTGTGTGCTGCAGATGGGGCTGGAGAAGGGGGGGGGGCTGACAGCACGTCCCTCCCTCTAACATTTGTAGGTATGTGTGTGCGCCATGTCATGCATGTGGCAGTTAGAGGACAACTTGGAGGGAATCACTTCTCTCCTTTTACAGTGTGGGATTGAACTCAGGACCTCAGACTTGTCAGCACATGCCTTTACCCACTGAGACATCTCCCTGGACATGGCAGCACCCTGTGGAAGAAGCAGAGAGCCACCAGGACAACTTCAGAGAGCCTCTGGTTTGGGCTGTACTCAGAAGGTTGGGGTGCAGGCCTGGCTCCCCGGGGAAACCCACAGAGCGCCAGGCACATGCTGATAGGAGCAAAGCCTGCCTCAGCTTCTGACGTGGAGTAGACTGGTTGGGCTGGTTTGAGGCAGCCTAAGAGGCCCGACCCCAAATTGTTATGGCTGAGCTCATGAGCTGGGTTTATTTTTCATCTCTTTTGGGACCCTATTCTGGAGCTCCTGTGCCCGTCATGGGGTTGTGTTGAAGGGCCCTGTCCACCCTCTACCTAGGAGGGGTTTTCCTCGGCTCTGGGTCCCACCTCTCCTGTAGTAGTTAACATTCCCTTCTCAGCTGCCATGCTGTTTATCCATCTCTTCAAAGGGAATGGCAGGCAGCCGGGTGAGACCCCTTCATGGTGCTCAAGGTGCCTCATGTACCTGCTGCAGCTTAGCAGTCCCAGGGCCTCGTTTCTGGGCTGTACTTGTCATCTGGATTTGAACACTCATTGCCTCCAAAGTCCTCTGTATCTAGTGCAGTCCCCTTCTGCTGGGGCACTTATTCCTATACATGTGCCATTTCTGGGAATCTCCTAAAATGGAATCACACTGTACGTTCTTTTGCATCTGACCTCTTCCATTAGCATAATGTTTTTGAGGTTTAATCATTCTTTTCATAGCTGAGTAGTAGCGTGCGTGCTCTGTGGCTAGGTCACACTGCCTTGGCAGTCCCTGGATGATAGACTCTGACTTAGTTCCAGCTCGTGTGCTAGGAGAGATGCTGTGATAGGCGTCCTCTGTGTATCTGTGTGGATATGCTCAGCCTTTGCAGCAGATGCCGGGAACCACATCACTGTGTTGTCTTAACCAGTCAAGAAGCTGCCAAGTTATGTTTTGAAGCAGTTGTACCTTTTGCCTTCTCACCAGCCATGCACCAAGGTTTCACCCCAGCTCCCAGTCACTTGGTATAGTCTGGTTTGGTTTTGTTTTGTTCTAATTCTGGTCATTCTGTTGGGTATGAGTGCTGTCTTTGTGGTTCTGGTTTATGTTTCCCTAGGGGCTTTTCCCTTATTAGCTATGTGTGTGCCCATGGAGGCCCATGGTATCAGCTCCCTGGGCTAGAGTTATAGGCAGTTGTGAGCCACCTGAGTGCATGCTAGTCCTCTGACGGAGCAGTACCTACTCGTAACCTCCAAGCATCTTTCCAGCCCTTCCAGGATGGATTTTTTTCTCATCTGCCACAGATTGATCATGTGCTGAGTCACGTATGTCACTTTCCCCCCAGACCTCTTCTACCTCTGTCCCCTCCCTGATGACAGCTACATCATCTTTCTTTGCCTTTCTGTAAACAGCTCCATCTAGCCTGGCTGCTCTCACTTGGCCTGCAGGAGTTCCTGTGGGCTCTGTTCTTGCTGTCTCCCAGTCCGTCTCCCCTTTGTCACCTCAGCTCAAGGCACCCATCCTCTGGTAACTGCAGTCAGCTTCCTTTTTGTGCCTACATCTTGCCACCCTCCTGCTGAGAAGCTGCTGCTGGCTTTCGGTGTTCTGGGAGGAGAGAGATGCTCTCTGGAGCCTGTGCACATGAGCGGTCCAGGCAGAGTAATCGGAGCTGACCTTCAAGGGGGTCTCGGATGTTGCTGCTGCTGGATAGACTAAGCAAATGCACCAGAGCGTGACCTCTGTGTGCCTCAGTTTCCCTCCACAGAAAATGGACAAGATTAAGAAGCCTTTCTTGGGGTAGTGAAGGGGAAGATGAGTTAGAGGAGTCCAGCACATGTTTCGTCAATCCTTTGTGGGATCAGTTGTGATGGCACAGATGGTGTCCAGTTTCTTCATCAGCCTACATCTTCCTTTGGAGTACATCTTCTGGGGCCTGTGAGGGCCGGGTACATCCTGGGATGGATGTGCAGATGGGATCCAGTGATCTGCAAGGGGCAGGATGGCCAGGCAGGGATGTGGGTTCAGTGCTGCCAGAAGAGCCGAGGAGGCAGAATTCATACAGCTGTTGGACACTGGTAATTAGCATTTTCTAGATGGATGAGCTCAGTAATGGCACAGACACACCATTTTCCATGGAGGGAAACAGGCACACAGGCTCTGTGGGCCAGCCTGAGCCTGCAGGCTACGAGCTACCAGCTCATACCTCTCTCTTCAGGTTTCCTGGGTGATCTGTTGGAGGCTGGCATGGTTCTGTGGGTTCAGAGCGGGTTTTTATGGGTACCTTTGCCTTGCAGGCAGGTTATGTCACCAGCAGAGGTGGCACCGAAGCTCCCAGAGGCCTGGAGACTATGTACAAGAGGAATGGTCTGATGGCTAGCGTGTTGGTCACCTCCGCCACTCCGCAGGTATGAAGGCTGTGGGAGGGTGGCGCGAGAGAGGGGCCCTGGCCATGAATACAGGCCTTCTTAGGGCCACCACTCCAGGCGGGAGGTTTGGGAGCCAGTCAGCCCTGTGGATGGTGGTGTTTTCTGAAGTTGTTCTCTTCAAAGAAAAACAAATACCTCTCCAGTCCCGCCATGGCAAGTGCCACATTCCATTTTGGTGGCAAGAAGGGATCAGACCTTTCCCAGGAAAAACCGCTGTTGATTATAAATAAGCCATGCGTTCCAAAATGAGGTCAGACAGAAGCCAGGCCAACTGGCCCTTGAGCGTATTTACCTTGCTTCGTAGGAAGTGACTGTAAGGACTGCTGGTCTGAGTGGCCTGGGCAGGGACTCCGCGTGGGGTCTGGGGTTTGCTTTCCAAGCTCAATAATGGTACAGACACACAGGAGGAGGTGTCATCTGGGGCTGGTGCCTCTGTGTCTGGGTGTAGTGCTGGCTCCTCAGACATGCTGGTGAAGCAGGCTTGGTCTGGGCATCCCACAAGGGGTTTCTTGACTAACCAGAGGTCATAGGAACCAGTTTCTTATCAGTCCCCCCCCCAAAAAAAAAATTCCTTGGTTTGATCTCTAGTCTTGAAAGCATACTTATGGATGCCTTTAAACATTTTTTTTTTCAATTTTGTTTTTAAATTATACGTGTATGTTCACATGAGTGTGGTACTCATGGAGGGTGTCAATCCCCCTGGAGCTGGAATTACAGGCGATGGTGAGCCACCATGTGGGTGCTTGGAACTGAACTCAGGTCCTCTGGAAGAGCAGTCTGCACTCTTAACCACTGAGCCATCTCTCCAGTCTGGTGAATGCCGTTTACATTTTCCTAGGAGGCCAGAGTAGTTTCATAAAATAGTGAGTCATCCTCATCACCACTGTCACTGTTGCCAGCAAATGTTTGGGGCAACTTTTGATTCAATAAATACCCTGACTTGAGGGTTCGGGGTGTTGCAACAATGCCCTAAGGCCTGACATCCAAGGAACAGCCAGAATCTGGTAACTAGAGGAGCCAGACTTCTGTCTGTGTCTGGGGCTTATACTCCTTCGAGACTGAAACATCCCTCTTCTGGGGCCCATGTGTGTATGTATGCATGTATACACAGATGTGAAGACTCATATGCTACCCTGTGCATGTTCGGCCCTCTGTGCATGGGACCCACCAACCATGCATCAAAAACGTTCAACAAAAACCCTCACTCCTGGACCAAGTGTGTGCAAACTGCCTGGTCATTTGTCTCTGAGCAGCAGCAGTGACTCTGCCCAGCGTTTATTTTGTAATAGGTACTAGTCCTCCTGTAGCAGGAATCCAAGAGTCTTATTAATAAAATCAAACCTGAGGCCAGGTATTGGGGTGAATGCTGGAAGATCAGAGAAGCAGAACAAGCCACAGCCACAGCTAACCTCACCAGTTCCTCAGCTGATCCCGTTTCCTCAGACTGGAAGCCTCTGTGTCCTCATCCCAATGGCTCTCAGCTGAACTGCTGCTGGAAAGCCTGAATGCTTAACCAGCTAAAAGCTTCTAGTTTCTGTTCTTCACGCCTTATATATCTTTCTGCTTTCTGCCTCACTCCCTGGGATTAAAGGCTGGCTTTTTGGGATTAAAGGCATGTGTCACCATGCTTGGCTGTATCCTTGAACACATGGATTTCTGCCTCTGGAATGCGAGGATTAAAGGCGTGTGCTACCACTGCCTATCCTCTATGTTTAATATTGTGGCTGTTCTGTCTCTGACCCCAGATAAGTTTGTTAGGGTGCACAATATTTTGGGGAACACAATACCACCACATCCTCCAGAAAGGACTCAGAATCTGTGGACAACACATACAGGTTCTATGCTAGGCATTTTATGCATGGCTTTGAGTACTTGCAGATTTTGGTATTGTTCAGGGCCTCCACGCATGTGACTGTAAGTACCGTAGTGTTTGTGGAGTGAATGCACACATGGGAATTGAGGTGCTAAGCGGCCCCAGGTGACTGAATGACACATTCTCTTTTATACACATCCAACTCACTATATTTTGTTATGCATCCCTTTGTGAGCTTCCTGATGAGGAACCCAAAGCACAGGGAGGAGAAGAAACTGGCTCTCACATCTGGGCAGGTGGGTGGTACAAACCCACTCTGGTGTCCTTAACATATTAACATATTACCCTGTCACCTAGCTAGGCTATGTCCTTTTTTTTTTTTTTTTTGTTTTTGTTTTTGTTTTTGTTTTTGTTTTTTTGGTTTTTCGAGACAGGGTTTTTCTGTGTAGCTTTGCGCCTTTCCTGGGACTCACTTGGTAGTCCAGGCTGGCCTCGAACTCACAGAGATCCGCCTGCCTCTGCCTCCCGAGTGCTGGGATTAAAGGCGTGCGCCACCACCGCCCGGCTTTTTTGGTTTTTAGAGACAGGGTTTCTCTGTGTAGTTTTGGTGCCTGTCCTGGAACTCACTCTGTAGACCAGGCTGGCCTCAAACTCACAGAGATCCGCCTGGCTGTGCCTCCCGAGTGCTGGGATTAAAGGTGTGCGCCACCACTGCCCGGCAAGGCTAGGCTATGTGCAGATCTAGATCTTGGCCAATTCCAGGCACACTGGGGCCAGTCCTATTTCTTTTCAGCTTTATTCAGATCAGACTGTCCTTGGGGGACAATGTCTTCCACTTAAAGAACTTACAGTGACACTTGTCACACACCCCAGGCCCCTGAGCCAGCATGTCCTAGGGAAGGAAGAGGTGGTGGTGGCGGGTTTGTTTAGTAACTGGTGCTGCTACTCTGGGATATGGCATTTAATAATCTGATTTTGTACCTGACGAGACACAGCAAGATGAAGTCAGTGTCTGAGGCAGGGTGGCAGCTGATGTGAGACTGGTATCTGTCCGGGCCTGCGTGCCTGCAGAGCCAGCTTGGTCCCTCACCTTCTGAGAGCAGGTGTAGTGTCGGTGTGAGAGCCTCACCTGTAGACACCCTAGGCCCAGGTGTTGAGGTGAGCCACTTGCATTTCCGCTCTACTCTGACCTCACACTGTCATAACTATGAGCTTTCTTCATTGACATAAAAACACCCTAGTTTCCAGTAAGATTGCAACATTTCCCTGAATAGAAAGTAAAATAAAGAGAAATTAACAAAAGCAGATTCCCTCACCCCTACTCTAAGATGGTGGAATGAGCAGAAACCACAAAGTCCTCCTCCATGAGTTGAGATGAATAAAACCATTTATGCGCAGGCCCAGGTTTGGGTGGTCGACCTGATGGGGTACCCAGGTGGAGCTTGATGGAATGCAGTCACATTAAAGAGAAGGTGTTCCCTTCACTTTGGGACCTTCACAGGGGTTGCCTTCATGAATGCCATCTAATTTTGGGATTTTCCCGTTTCCCTGTGCGAGGCCCCTATCCTCACATGCAGGACTCAGTGACCCTTACTAGAGGAGCGTTCCCTGACAGTGTCCGAAGTGTGTGTGTGTGTGTGTGTGTGTGTGTGTGTGTGTGACCGACCTCCAGAGCCAGCTTTATCATTTGCATTACAGTGTCCTGCACTGACCAGCTAGGAAGGGGCAGAGGGAACTGAGCGGTGGCTCCCAAGTTAAGAGTGCTGGCTGCTCTTGCCAGGACCCCATTCCCAGTACAAGGGCCTGCAACTCCTGCTCCAGGAGATCCAGTGCCCTCTTGTGGCTTCTCTGGGTACCTGTGCACACGTGCATAAATGAAATAAATCTTTAAAAATGAACAAGGAAGAAAGGCAACAAAATGGATGAGCTCCTCAAGTCCCTGAGTCTGGAGCCTGTTCTGAGGGAGAATTAGGCTAGGGTTCCCCTCTCTCTTTTGGGTGCTGGGGACAGAACTGGGCCTTGAGCATGCTAGGTGAGTTTTCTACACTGAGCTACACCCCAACTCAAGGGTCGGATTCTCCCCCATCATTACGCTGCAGGCCAGAAGCTGTTAGAGGTAGTGTTCCACGGTCATTTGGGGGTTCAGATAGAAAACTTCACATTCTGGCTTTCAGCTTCATGGGTAAGAAACCTTGGAGAAGTGACATTGATTCTGCTTGCTTACCTGTAAAATGGAAATACAACATGTGCATGCAGAGAACCCTTGAGGACTAGGATGGTGTGGGAAGTGCTGCGGAGCCCAGTGTGGAGCCCAGTGACAAGCAGCAGACACTTCATCCCGTGAGCCTGTCACTCACAGTCTCCATTCTGGGGAGCTTTGGGGTGGCAGCAGCCGCAGGCCAGACCAGTCAAGTGTATTTCTCTTTGCCTTCTCCACAGGGCAGCAGCAGCTCAGACTCTCTGGAGGGCCAGAGCTGCGACTATGCCAGCAAGAGCTACGACGCTGTTGTCTTTGATGTTCTGAAAGTGACTCCTGAGGAGTTTGCCGTAAGTGACGTGGAACTGGTATGGTTGGTGGTGCTGGAGGAAGTCACTACTCTGGGTTTCTGCCCAGGTTGAGAATACCATACATGTCCACAGTAGGAGAGCGAGTGATGGGTAAAGAATGCTTTGGGTTTAGAATTGGCTGCCTTGGGAGGGGTCCACAGTGCATCTGCACAGTAAGAGAAAGAACAGGGCTCCGCATATTTACAAAGCACACACAGGGCACCAGCAGGCACATGTGGCAAAGGTTTGGGCCTGCTGCTGACACGCTTCACAGCCGTATTGCTCGCTCGACTCTTGGCTGCAGACCCCATGCATGTGTGACTCTGTTTCCTCTTTTTGTTTACTTCCACCTCTGTACATCTATGTACCGTCTCCTGCAACAACAGGCAGGGTCCTTTTGCTTCAGCCTGTGTTTGGTTTCTGGATGATCCCTCAGTGGAGCAGAGCTGGCCTCTCATTTGCCATGATGTTTCCCTCTCTTGGGGTTTTGTTAGGGAGGGAAGTTGGTTCTGGGATGACTTTAAGCCTGACTCTGAGCACTCTTCCACTCTGTAGAGCCAAGACTGGTCCCTGACATGTCTTCCTCCTCCCCTCCCTCCTCCTCCTCTTCCTTCTTCTTCCTGGTTCCCATGGTTTAGAGGTTCTAGATCCACCAACTACAGGTGGATCTTTGCTGTCTGTGTGACTCTGGCTGCCAGCCAGCAGCTTCTCCTTATATGGTCTGTATTCCCATTCTGAGAATCTGAGGTTTCCCAGATATTGGTCATGGCCTGGTCGTGGCTCTCATGGCTCTGTTACAGCCTTCTGTGGCTCTGGTCATGACCTATCATGTCTCTCTGGTCATAACTCTTATGGCTCCAGTCATAGTTTCCCGTGGCTCTGGTCATGGCTCCTATGGCTCTAGTCATGGTCTCTTGTGGCTCCTATGACTGTGGTCATGGGTTCCTGTGGCTCTGGCTGTGGCATACCATGACTCTGGGTTATAGTTTCCCATGGCTCTTGTCTTGACTCCTGTGGCTGTTTATCATGCCTGTGGCTCTGGTCATGGCTTCAGTGGCTGTGGTTGTGACATCCTGTGGCTCCTATAGCTTGGCTGTGGCTTTAGTAGCACTCTGGTTGTAGCTTTTGTGCCTCTGGCCATGGATCTCATGTCTCTGGTTAGGGTTCTGGTCATGGCTTCTATGGCTCTGGCTGTGACTACCATTGTTATGGTTGTGACCTCCCTTGGCTCTGTGAGCTCTTAACAGCTCAGGGCATCCTTGGAAATCTTCTGTGTGGTTTCAGTTCGTGTCCTTCCTGCCCGATGGGACCCAGGAGTGTGTGCAATGACACTTAGGAGAAGAGCCCAAGTCCACTGGGTATAAAGATGAAATGTCCTCTCCCCCCCACCCCCCGCCATCTGCTTAGGGTTCCTACAGAATTTCCAGGGAAGCTATTGCAATGATGACATATCAGCCATGTTTCTTTGAATGGCCTAAGTTTCACATCCTGATCCCAGTCAGAACTGGTGCTCAGATGTTCTCCTCAAGACACATCAGTGGCTGTGGAGACAGGCTGATGAGCAAAGTGCTTGCTGTTCAACCTGAGCCTGGATCCCCATCACACTCATAAAATGTGGGGTATGACGGTGTGTGTTTTTAATCTGAGTGCTGGGAGGCAGAGATGGGATCCCTGGACAGGTTCAGTAGACCATGTGTTGCAAAAAGCCATGGCTCTCCTTCCTGGCCTGTCTCCGAGGCATGTGGTAACTGACACTTGGCTCCCATGTGACACACAGAGTGGGTAAGTCACCAAGTGATGTAGCACGAATCTTCAAAGATCTTAGTAATAAGAACAAACCCGGAGCCAGGTATTGGGGTGAATGCTGAAAGATTAGAGGGACAGAACAGGCGACAGCCACCTCACCTTGCCAGCTTCTCAGCCGATCCTGTTTCCTCAGACTGGAAGCCTCTGAGTCCTCATCCGGAATGGATCTCAGCTGAACTGCTGCTAAAAGCCTGAAAGCTTAACCAGCTCTAGTTCCTGGTCTTCATGCCTTATATACCTTTCCGCTTTCCTCCATCACTTCCTGGGATTAAAGGGGTGTGTCACCATGCCTGGCTGTTTCCAGTGTGACTTTGAACTCACAGAGATCTGGATGGATCTTTGCCTCCAGAATGCTAGGATTAAAGGCGTGAGTGCTACCATTTTCTGGCCTCCTATCTAGTGGCTGTTCTGTCCTGTGACCCCAGACAAGTTTATTAGGGTGCACAATATATCAGGGGATACAATATCACCACAAAGTGACCTTGGCCCAAAGAATTGTTAGCAGTGGTGCCCTTCCCCTGGTCCCCAGATGAGCTTCTGCCTGTCTGCTGCTATGGGAGGATCCTCTTCTTTTCTTTCCAATCTGTACAAGAGTCATACTGAACCAGACGGCAGTAGACGTGGTGTGCTCACACTGAACAGAGGGCAGTAGACGTGGTGTGGTCACACTGAACAGAGGGCAGTAGACGTGGTGTG